ATACAGAATGGAACAGAGTCTAATCAGTCAAAACAAGATCGTGAGAGTATTACAGGACTTCAAAACAAGTTAATAGGAAATCAAAAAAAGTTACTATTATAATATCCTGCTAATTTTTAAAATTTTTCCCCTTAATTAAAACAAACATAAGAAATAACTAAAAAAATTTTTAATGAATAAGGGAGAGATTGAGATAAAACAGGACATAACAATATAACAATGTAGGTCAAAGCATGACTGTTTCAGCAACCTAGTGCTTCACCACCAAATTACCCGACTTAATAGTAGTTACCATAGTGTCTGTCTTTTTCCTTGAAATATTTGAATAAAACTTCATATACTATAGCTTCAAATATTTCCATATCAAGAAGCCCAGAATAAAGCCTTTCCAATTAATAAGTGAAAACTTTATAAGGCCTCAATGCCACATAATGGGGAATCATGATTACCACATATTTTTATATATTTGAATCATTACTTACATTAGGGAAACTATTTGGTATTCACACATGCGAGATTGATTTATTTCACTTATGAGTATGGTCTCAAGCTGTGCCCATTTATTGATAAATATCTCAATGTGACCCTTCTTTATAGCTGAATAATACTCCATTGTGTAGAAATACCACAACTTTTTTATCCATTCCTCAGTTGATGGACATTTGGGTTGTTTCCAAGATCTGGCAATTACAAATTGTGCTGCTATAAACATAGGTGCACATATATCACTGTGGTATGATGCTTTCAGTTCTTCTGGGAATATGCCTAAAAGTGGAATAGCTGGAATAAATGGGACTTCCAATCCCAGTTTTTTGAGAAATCTCCAGACTGACCTCCACAAAGGCTGCACCAGTCTACAGTCCCACCAGCAGTGTAGGAGAGTTCCTTTTTCCCCACAGCCTCTCCAGCATTTGTTGTTGGTGGTTTTCTTGATCCTGGCCATTCTTTGAGGAGTGAGATGGTATCTCAGTGTGGTTTTAATTTGCATTTCTCTAATGACCAATGATATTGAACATTTTTTCATGTATTTATTTGCCATTTGTATTTCTTCATCTGAGAAGTGCGTATTCATCTCAGATGCCCATTTTTGGATTGGATCTCTGAATTTTGGAGCTCTGAGTTTTTTTTTAATTCTTTACATGTTTTAGACAAGAGTCCCTTGTCTGAGAGAGAGTTCACTAAAATCTTTTCCCAGTTTGTGGGTTTTCTTTTCACTATGCTGGAGATTTCTTTTGACATGCAGAAACTTTTTAATAAGAAGTGGTCCCAGTTATTGATTCTGGGAAGTATTTCTTGTGCGGTTTGAGTCCTGTTCATGAATTCTCTACCTACTCCTATGTCTTCAAGGTTTCTACCCAATTTGTCTTCCAATAGATTTAGTGTTTCTGTTTTAATATTCAGATCTTTGACCCTTTTAAAGCGTCTTTTTTTTTTTCTTGTCTTTTTCATTTTTATCGGTACTGGGGATCAAATTCATGACCGCCTGCTTCCAAGGCAGGCGCTTATGCCGCTGAGCTAAATCCCCAGCCCCCTTAATGGATGATTTTTAAGAGTATATTTACTGGGGCTGGGGATTTAGCTCAGCGGCATAAGCACCTGCCTTGCAAGCAGGCAGTTGTGAGTTCAATCCCTGGTTCCGATAAAAATGAAAAAGACCAAAAAAAAAAAAAAAGAAGAGTATATTTACTTAAAAATATTTAAGTGTTGCTGTAGTTTGTGTTCAGATGCCCCCCCAAGCCTCATATAATCATGGAGGCTGCTGAATCTCGTGCCTGTGATTGGTTCATTGTCTAGCAGTGGGATTGGTGGTGTGAGTGCTGCACCTGCCCAGGGGTGGAGCCAGCACACAATGTAAGGATGGGAAGGGGGTGTGCTTTCCCTGTTTTGCCCTCTGACTCTTGCTGTTTGTGGCTGCCATGTACAGTTTCCTTTCAGGCATGCCACCCTGTCTTCGAGCCAGCTGAGTATGGACCAAAACCTCCAGAAAACCATAAGCTAAATAAACCTTCCCTTCCCTAAATTTGGGTTCAGATGTTTTGTCTTTACAACCAGAGACAAATAAACCAAGACAAGTGTTTTCTCTACTCTTTCCCTTCAAAAGTATATTTTAACATTAAATTTCATCATCTAATTCTTGGAACTTCAGCTGATTGTGTTTATTGTAATTCTGGTTTTTGATATTGTATGTTTTATTTGAGGCAGTATCTTACTGTATAGTTTAGACTAGCCTTGAACCTGTAATCTGTCTGCCTCAGCCTACTGGTTAAGATTACAGATGTATATCACTATGCCATGTGGCTCTTGGTTTGTTTTTATACCTTGGATTATATGAGAAACATATAATAAATGTTTGGTGAATTTTAAAGGAAAATATATTGTTCACATGAAAACTACGTGGATACATTAGCTTTGGGGCAATGCTAGAGAATTCTTGTCAGAATTGATATCTTTATTTTGATCTTCAGGAACTATTAAGGGTGACCACTGAGTCATACTTGCTGTTTTCTTTGTCCTTTGGCTCTCTCTCTGAAAACCCTGAAGTTTACCAGCCACAGGATACTTAAAAGTCAGAGTAGGCTTTAGATCCAGGGGTGTTTGTTTATTTAAAGAAAAATAATTAAGTTCAAACATCTCTACCATGCTATAGCAAGTTTAGTCATGTTAAGAATTAGGAAGTTGTTTGGTTTCTTTCTGGTGCTTGTAGTACTGCTGAATTCTTCCTATTTCTTAGAACTTTATAATGTATTCACAAAAAGAAATCCATAAAGAAGTAGGAGGAAAGAGAATTTTTATGTCAGTAGTTGTTTTTAATAAAACTTATTTATTTAAAATCTTTTACCATTTTTTTCTAGAGTTATAGTATAAATGATTTATACTATACTTATCCTTGTATATTCTCTGCCAGATAAGGAAAACTAAAGCAGGTATTTTGGACTTGTCTAAGGTACCAGGGGACATCTCCTAATGCAATGACTTATAAAAGCCTTCTCCTTTCCCCTGCCCCACCCTAAAAGCCGAATCCTAAAAGAAAATGAGTAAGCCTAAGAGATATCTAGTGTTTCAGAGAGAGAGAGAGACAGAGAGAGAAAAAGTGTTCCAAAGAGACAGAGAGAGAGAGACAGAGAGAGACAGAGAAATGAAGGCCCTGAGAATATCTGGTGTTCAGAGAAAGGAAAGAGGCTAGTATAGCTGGAATAGAGTGAATGGGAAGGAGGGTGGTAGGAGATAAGAAGTAGGAGGGGAATATTAGACTGTGGTCCTTATGGGCCATTATTGTAGAGATTTTGGCTTTTAGATTAGTGAAATGGATTCCATTAAAGGGTTTGTTCAAAAGAGTGACATGATCTTTCTTTTTTTGTTTTTGTGTTTGTTTGTGGTACTGGGGATTGAATCCAGGGTCTTTAGACTAAACTATATATACAGCCCTTTTAATTTTTTTTTTTTTTTTTAATTTTGAGACAATCTCATCAGGGTGGTAAATTGCCTGTGAAGGCTTTGGTTTTTTTTGTTGTTGTTGTTGTTTATTTTTTTGGTCTTTTTGAGACAGGGTATCACTATGCAGTTCAGGTCACCTCTGAGCTCACTTTGTATGCTAGACTGGTTTCGAACTTGCAACAATCCTCCTGCCTTAGCCTTTGCTTGATTTGTTGAGGTGAACACGGAAGAGGCCAAGGAATTAAACAGGCAACTGTTACAGTAAACCAGATGCAAAATAAGGTACTATGGAACATAGTGATAAAGAGTTGATTGGTAAAAGTGTTACTACTATGTATCCTTCAAAAGAGGAGCTCTAAAATGAACATTTCATGGATAGTGATGAGTACTTCTGCATATAAATGTGTAGTAGATCCATTTTTAATGGTAAAATTAATCACTGGATTCAGGGTTTTGTTTGGTTGGTTTTATAATACTGGAGATTGAACTCAGGTTCTACCACATGGTAGGCAATCATTCTACCACTGAGCTACATCCTGTCTGTTCCCCTATCCCCACCTTTCCTCTTCAGACAAACTCTCACAGTGTTACTAGGCTGACCTCAAGTTTGGGATCCTCCTGCCTCCCCAACAGCTGGATTACATGTGTGCTCTACTGTGTTGGCTCCCTGGGTTCAAATTTTGTTAGCCTGATCCATCCATTGTTTCTCTTTACCCAATGGTTTTAGCAACCAGTGATCTTTTTCTACATTCATTATTTCATTAAGGGTTGCAAAATGATTGTTTTATAACCCTGTCCTTCCTTTTGCTTTCATTATTTTGAATCCTATTAGGAAGACATCTCACTTACTCATTGCTTGATTACTTGGTATGTCTTTCATACAAAGTTTGTTGTCCTAGCAATTTCTGTGAAAGAAGTAGCATCTTGAGGCTTTGCTATTTTAAAATTCTAGTTTAAGTATTTTATTGACTAAAGTTAATTCATCATTTTATTCATTCTTTCAGTAAATATTTACTGAGCACTTATGATATGACAGTCATTGTTTTAGGTGCTTAAAAATGTCCATAAGTAAAACTGACAAAACCTTCTGGGCGCTTTTTTTCCTTTTTTTTTTTTTTTGTACCAGGAAGTGAACTTACAACCTCACACTTACCAGGCAAGCACTTGAACCATTGAACTAATTCCCTGGCCCAGAGTTTTCATCCTAGTAATTGGTAGAGTAGTTAAACAATTTATTCAATGTGTGATTTTAAAGGTTCCTATCTACCCCTTCCCTTTTCCCCCTTTTTTCTTGTTCAACGTGTAAATGGCATCAGGAATTGTGAGGTTAAAGTGTGTGTGAAAGGCATCAATGATCAAACCACTCTGGACCTGTATGATAATAGCCAATTTTCTATTCCTCCTACCTTATCCTCAGCCCTGTTTTTTGGTTTGTTTTTATTAGAAAATACCTCAAGAATTATTTTTGTGGTTCTCTCTGGTACAAATCAGGTAATTGTCCTTAAAAATTGTAGTTGGTTACATGTACAAGAGCCTCATTCTTAATAATGGTACCTTTATTTCAGAAATGGCCATTAAGAAGTAGATGTCCAGATGCAAAGGGAATGAAACAGTATATTTGTCATAAAGTAAGATGCAGCTGTGGCTTTTCAACCAGATTAGTAAGTGTAACCAAATGTTTTAACTATTATTTTATCAGTTGTTTTGGAGAATATTGAATTGAAAATATGGTGGACATTAAAAAAATGTGACCTTGTATTTGTTTTTACTTAGTAGCACAAATTTGAGTATAGAAATAGAAAATATATGTTTGTGCTATACCTTTTAAAGAATTTTGAAGGTGGTAATAGTAAATCACAAATATAGAGAAAATATATGAAAAAGTCATTATATCACTATCCATATATAGCTTCTCTTATAATTTGGGAGCCTGGGTGTGGTAGTGCGCCCTTGTAAATCTAGCACTCTGGAGGTTGAGGCAGGAGGATTGCTGCAAGTTCAAGGCCAGCCTGTGCTACAGAGTGAGCTCAAGGCCAGTCTGAACTACACAGTGAGATGCTGTCTCAAAAATTTTTTTTAATATGTAATTTTTCTTCAGTCTTCGTTCTACATACTTTTAAAATATAATTTTGATATTTTGTAGAGTATGCTTCTTATGTATCTTTTAAAATTAAACTTGTTTCAGATGCTTCTTTCTTGGAATTAGAAATATGCCCTTCACTATGGGGTTTCTTATTGGGATGATGAAAATATTCTGGAATTAGATGGTGGTAATGGTTACAAAACTGTGGCTACATTAAAAACTTATGTTGAAATGGATGAATTTTATGATCTATGAATTACAACTTTAAAGAAAGCCTTTAGAATATGATTTTGGATAGAGTAAAATTCACTTAAGTTATTGATGTTTTAAAATATGAAAATGTCACATTTGTCTAGCAAAAATGAATTGATGTATTTTTAAAGAGACTTTTGAAACTAACATCTCAACTTTTCTACCTGAAATTTTTTAGGAACAAAATTGTATCGTTTTTTTCTCAGAAGAGAATTCCACAAGGTGAGAAATTGTTAATATAATCATTAGACAAATGTAATTGAATCCAGGCTTAATAGCTCATGGTTATTTTATCCTATTCCCCATGTTTATGTTGTATTACACATTGTATGTTGTAACTCTAATATTGTTCCTAGCTCCATGAGGGTAATTTTACCTTTTTTGAGGAAAAATTTCTTTCTTATTGCAGCTCAGTAGATATTGCCTAAGTGATTTTAAGGAGTAGAGAGTTCTTAAAGTTCTCTATGGAAATTGTATAACTCCTATGTTTAGTTTAACAAGTAGATTGCTTTCTGCCAGCTATGTTACTGCGTAGAACATTAGGTAGCATCTCTGTATATTTTTTTAAAATTCCTGAATGCTTTAAAAATGTACATCCGATGATTTTTAGTGGATTTTATGTGATGATTAATTAGTTGATATTCCTTAGACTTCTGAAGTATGAAATACAAGTGAGTAGATACTAAGATCTTTTTATTGTTTTCCTTGAAATCATTTACTTTGAAGCTAAAGCTGCCAAAGAAGTTACTTTGGTTACATTTTCTCAGAAACTTTGGAATAGTGATCATTTGGTATAACTAACTTTTGGGTAGGTTGTAGTGATCATTTGGTATAACTTAAGAGTTGTCAGCTGGAAATGCTTTTAAAGTAAATTATTTGGACACAGTGCCTGCCTGGTAAGCATGAGGTTACGAGTTCCATCCCAGGTACCAAAAAACCCCAAAACCAAATAAAGTAAATTATTCAAATCAGCAATTCTATTTCTTGTTTATTTGCCTTTTTCAGTATCACATATTTTGAGGGGTATATGTACTCTTATTAGGCAGATGCCTACTACTGAGCTATATCCCCAACCCTTCTTTCCTATTTTTGAAAACACTGTAGTTTTAGGTAATCAGGTCAGTTTTTATTTGGTTTTTGGAAACAAAAGGTTAAAATAAAGGGACCCAGTAACTGAAAAGGAGAAGGGGAGAATAAATACAAAGATTAGTCCTGTTTTGAAACTCCTTTCTCTGTTTTTTTTTTTTTTCTTCTTCTAGTTTCAGGAGGTTGAGGGAGGAGGTCCTGGACCTGTGTGTGGTACTGTCTGACCCCCTAGAGCACTGCTGAAAGACAGTGAAGTGAGGGAGCACTTCAGAAGAAATCTTTATCCTTCCTTTCCTGGGCCACAGTACCGGAAGCAAAAACAGACGTTTCAAAAGGTTAATCTCCATGAATTTAGTCTATTACATCTTAATCACATTTTGACACATGAAATTTAATTCTACATTAGTACAATGCAAGATACCCACAAGAATGATGCATTGTAGGGTTTGATACTATTAGGGCTGACCTGTAAGGTATTTGATACAGTAGTGGGGATTGAGCCCAGAGTCCTCACAGTGAGCAGTAGTATCAGACCCTTATATTTTATTTTTGAGACAGGTTCTTACTAAGTTGCTAAATTGCCCTGGCTGAGCTCAAACTTGTGATCTTCTTTCCTCAGCTTCCCAGAGTATTGAGATTATAGGGAGGCATCACCATCAGCTTAATGGCTTTTATATGTTTGGTGTGTATTCTTTTGTTTGTGTCTTATGAGGAGTTACGTTATGTGCCTATATTTTAATTTACATTAGATAATGAAAAATGTCATGATACTATATCTTGTAGCTTAAGAAACAGATAATTAAGTATTGTTCTTTTTTTTTAAGTATTGTTCATGACTATAATAAACCTTAGAATAAAATGATTTGGTATACATTTTAAAAAAGACACTAGGACTTACTCTCATTTTTTATCTCTTTTCCACCTCTTCTTCCCCTGCATTTCCCTCTTAAGTTCTGGCCATGTTGCTGAGTGGTCATCTAGTTTGTCTAACTGGTACGTTGTGATCTATGTTGATGTTTATGTAAAATTCCTTCAATGTTTAAGACCCCTAAAATTGACATTTAGGAAAAGGCCAATTTGTGCATATTTATTTATATTAGAATTAAGTTAAAGAATGTAATTTAGATACTGTGGATGTTTAGAGGAAGAGATATAAACATCTATTCAGAAAGCTTGCTGTGTAGGTCAGTTAAGAGCTATCAAAGAAAAGGATGGTAGAACAAATACGTATTTTTCTTCTGAAAACTGTGTCACTGTGGATTATCTCACAAAAGCTTAATAGTTAAGTTAGCTGCTGTCCAGGCAGAACACATAATGACAATAATATGATACCTTGACATTAATTTCTTTCTTTTTTTTTTTTTAATTTAAGGAGAAAAAAGAAAAAAAAAACAGAAAAAGGGTACAAGTTATACAGAATTTCAGAAAAAATAAACAGTAGGAAATCACTAGTTAATTACATATTGTCATCTTAGAAATAGTTGTTGAAGTTACAAAATTAAAGCATATAGAGGGGACTTTCAAACAGTGAGACTGCAAACAGTTTTGTTCAATAATCCAACAAAACTCAGTAATATGGTTATCTATCTTATACACTTAAATATATATGCAGTTATATCTTTTAGAGAACTTTCTTTTCCTTTCTTTTGTACAATGACAATTACACATTTTGGGTTTTATTACTCCCACAGTTCTTACTACTTTTTTTTTTTGAAGAAAGTAAAACCAAATGTGACATACCAGGACAGAGTCAGTCAAATCAAAAAGATGGACATAACACATAATGTAAAAACAAAATACAAGGTGATCAACAATGGTTACCATAATGCCTCTTGTTATCTTAAAAAGAATTGCCTATATCATTAGTTATAATAAAATTGAACAAAACAGTAAAGAATAAGACCAATAAAACCAAAACATTGGAGACATTAGAGGACTTCAAAAGAAGATAATAGTGACATTAATTTCTATAGTGTGATATAGTTGAACATTAGTCTCTTCTGCTGATTCCATGAAGCAGAGCTATCTTCTGTGAAACCTTATTGCTGAATCTAACAAACAGTAAAGATTGAATAATAACCAGTACAAGTGCCATCTGTATGGGGATGCAGAGACTACAGTAGTACCTTGGTTCATGAATGCTTTTGTTTGCAAACATTTTAGCATAGAAGCATTTGGAAAAATTGTGTTTTTGTTTGCAAATTCTCTTTTGGGTGACAGACATGACCTTGACCATCTTTCTCACAAACACAAACATAGTTATCTTTTCTACAATCTTAGAATTTTTTTTTTTTTTTTTAAACCAGGGATCGAACTCACAACCTTGCACTTGCCAGGCAGGCGCTTATGCCGCTGAGCTTAATCTCTGGTTTTATGATCTTAGAATTTAGATTCATGAACCAGGGTTCCACTGTATTTTATCTGTAGTAGTGTGGTATCAGAAGGAGAAACTTTTCTTTGATCCCCCTAAGTAGAAATTAACAGACTAGGAACTCTTGTCCTGTCTTGGCCAGCCTTGCTTGGCCTAGCCTGGCCTGTCTTGTGACAGGTTAGCCTTGAACTCATCAGTCATCCTGCTTCAGCCTCCTGAATGATGGGATTATAAGTGTGAGCCACCATACCCAGCTCTGAGTGGAAAATTTTATTTTTTAAAATTAATTTTATTAGTATGTTTTTTTTTTTTTTTTGGTCTTTTTCGTATTTTTATCGGTACCAGGGATCGAACTCACGACTGCCTGCTTGCAAGGCAGGTGCTTATGCCGCTGAGCTAAATCCCCAGCCCCAGTATGTTTTTGATATACATAATGATCATACCCATCTTAGGGAATTTGTACCTGTACACAGTATATCTTGATTCTTTTTTCCCTATTCCCCTCCCTTCCTTTTACACATCTTGTTTTGGCAGATAAGACGTTAACATCCTTATGTGGATGTGAAATGAGTAATTTGATCTCATATTTCAGAATGTAGCAATTTCTTCCTCCTATATTGTGTATAGGGTGAAAATCAGATGCTGGATTTTAAATGTGTGTCTTTTATCTTGAGAGCTTAATTTGGTTCAGTCTCATGTACAGGGAGAGATCAAGATTGGTTTTGAGTAATTTCATGTTATTTTTGGTCATACTAGCTCTTTGAGCCTGTGGAAAGAATATGAGAAATTTCACATGTAGCAGATAGAATAAAGAAATGCTAATTGATTGATAGTTCATTTAATACCTTGGATTTTGGATCTTCGGAATGTAGCTTTTTTGTTGTTGTTAGTGACGGTGGTAAAAATGCTGGGCATCATGGACCCCAGGTCCTTGTGTGCTAGGCAGGCATTCTTCCACTGGGCTACATCCCTGGTCCCTAGTAGCGTTTTTGATATTCAAAGAAAAGGTCAAGATATTTAAAAGGCTCGGGTCTTTTGAGTCTATCTTTTACTGTATATTAAACCTTCACTTATCATAGTTCATTTTAGCTGAATTTAAACTTTATCCATAAATATATAAATGGTTATAATTATTTTAGATAGGATAGAGTTTTGTATGTGCTGGTTTGATTTTTTTTTTTCCCCGACTACTTGCTTTTATATTGAAAAACAAAAAAACCCCAAAATTCAGAATAGGTTGAAACTCCACACAAATTGCTTCCACAGAACAAAAGTGCTGATCAAGTTAAATCAACCCCTGTAATGCGTATTGAAAAGGAAACCTCTCGTCTCTACCCCAGTTTGAAGAACAAGCATTTTCTCTGCCAAGAAGGACTGACTTTAAATGGACCAGCTGTCCATATTAGGAACATAGGGTTGCTAAGGTGACCATGGCTATTTGAAGAAGAATGCAGCTGAGAGGGCAAGTTCTTGATGTGTGAGCTGAGGGAAAGAATGTGGTGTGATTGCGCATCATTTCTCCTAATCACATGCTCACAAAGTGCTGTGTGGGCAGCATGTAGAAACTAAAGTCTGAGTGGGAGCTTGTGTGTGCTTAAAGTCACTGTTTTAAGGTAAAGCGGAGTTCAGAAGGGAGCTGCCCACCTTGTGTGTATGTGTGTGTTGGGACTGAAAGGGAGGGTGTTTTTGAATGAAATGAATGTTTTATATGATGGGTACATTCACTGTTACTTTAAAAAGCGTTTGAGATAAATGTTTTCTCCAC